GGAGCACCCTTGCAATGGTGGCGCGTCGTTGTGCACCATCGCGAATTGCGAATTCTGCATAAGTCAAGGCTCTTGTTCTTCAACTTCACCATCCATCATTTGTAATCTGTGTTTTTAGGGTTTTTAAGGTTTTTGTTTTTTAAGGTTTTCTCGAGCTCAACGTCGAACTGTAGAGTTAGCAAATGCACGCGTAAGAAAAAGTATGGGGAATTCGTCACTTGTTGTGTCTTGTAGCTGTGTAATACTTCAGCTCCAGAGGCAGCAGTATAGAACTGGGAATGTGGACGATGTAGCCCATTCTATCGATTGATATTATTACTTGTCACCTCTCATTGAGATTCCCACACCTAAACCTCCATAGTTTGGCAGTGTGAAACTCCCACCGCCCTGAGAAGCGACGATGAGGGAATGGCTCCCTATCAGTCCCCACCAGTTGTTATCTCTTTCTGTCCCATCATTAATATTACTGTCCCACTCGTCGCCTAATAAAAGTAACTTCCTACCGTTGATGCGAGCCGCGCTATGAAGTTGCCGACCCTCTCTTTTCCTCTAAAAGTCTCTTCTATAATCTCTTATCGGACCTTATTAGCTGCGATAACATTCTGTCACCTAGCATTGCTCTTTCCCGCCCCCCCCCCCATACTGTTGAAACTGACTTCCTACAGTCGCTGCGACCCGCGCTATGAATTAGACAGCTCTCCTTCTCTGGAGCCAATGAAGCATTGTGCGGGAGGAATTCCACGCATGCATGCATATTTAGAGAGCGGCAAACTGACACTCATAGTTACCGCTTCAGAATAGAGTGATATCCTCGATTTCGTTGTTTATTTTTCTAGTTTGCTTTCTGTAGCCAAAGCAAATATGAAAACACGTGTGGCGCCGCGAGTACTGGTTGTGTGAAGTCATTTATTCGATAGCGGACTGCCTCCTGATTTGGGTACCCACGAATCTTCTTAAACGCTCAAAACGCCGTCGTATTGGTTGTAGGCAGTTCCACGTATTCTCCGTCTCTTTTGCCATTCACACTGGTTTGGGCGACAGTTTTACTTTGGACTTTGTTAATAGCCAAGGGGCACCTTACTCACATTGTAGACACTCACTTTCTGCAATTACGGTATCTTTTCCCAAGAAACGAATATAGTGAGCTCACCTCTTTGTGAATTGTTTTGACCGCTGTAGCAATCCAGATGTAAGCATAGACTTCCATGAAACAATGCAAAAACTATGAGGACAAAGCACATTTTGGCCCGCCGCAAGAAGCGAATAAACTAGCAAAATGAGTCTTACTACAGTTTTCTCACGTTAACACACATACGGTATCATCCTCATTCATAGTTGCACTGCATGTTTTTGTTGATAGGTTGGTGAGACTGAGATTCAATATGTGTGCGTCTCTCGAAAAGGCTTCTCTCAAATGCCGCTATGTCTCGGATTCTCTAAAAGTAATAGTCGTGGAACGTTGCATAGTTTGGGTCAAGACATTCCCATGGTGAGCCCCTACTCAGCGAGCAGACACATCATATTGCACCGCTTTCCTTCTAGTCCCTCAAGTATTTCGCTTTATTGGTGCTCTACAGATCTGCTGAACTTTAAGGTTAACATAAGTGAGCATGATTCTCATGTTGTCATACTCAACAAGTTCCTAGTGAGCTTATCTGCAGCCGAACACAAACCCTACCTGCAGGGAGGATTCAGCTTCAGAATGGATACTATGACAGTGCTTCTCGAAGTTTGCTCTCAGAGATATGCCTCCAAATCTAAGCGAATTGCAATATGTTTTGGGTGGTTATCGGAGCCAATCTAGCTAAACACAGACATCTGGGTTAGGAGAAAATGGGAAGGATTCGTAGAGAAAGTGAGAAACCAAGAAACAGCACACGTGAAGCATTTATTGCCCTACAGTTCTACTTGTAACTTGCCTCTCCAAAGGTTCGCTGAGATCCTTCTTGGGGTGCTTTCCGACTCCCAATAAGACCCATTTTCAGCGGTCTTTGACAAGGATGGGCAAGAGGGCTCTGAACCCCGCTGAAATCCATTTCGAGCGGACTCCGAGGCAGAATGGAATCCCTTTTGCAAGGGAACCGACATGAAAGACCACGGATGGGAACTGCTGCTGGGCGAGGGAGGGGGAGTCTGAGAAGGTCGCTGAGATGCTCCTTAGGGTGCTTTCGGGCTCTCAATAGGACCCCTTTTCACGCGGTCACGTCGGAGGATGGAATAAAATTCCGCAAGGGCTCTGAACACCGTTCAGATCCCTTTCGCCCTGGATCTCGTGATTGATGAGGTCGCCTATTGCAAGGGCTTCCCAACAGTTCCCACTGAATGCTTAGTTTATCCTGTCTGTGCTTCAATACTCAGCTGATACCTAGCTTTTCCTTCATCTGTACACACGATCAGCGCTTTTAACCAAAAGCATCACACCTGCTGCTTCCAATACTATTACCGTCTATGGAATGGTGGAAAGCAGCGTTGATCAAGCGCACAAATGACAGAAAGCCGACTATTTTTTGAGTATTCATCGTGCGAAAGAAGGTACGCATGGCGAAGCTGGGCACTGTCTCAGAGGGATGGCTCACCGGCGTCAGCCGGCGAGCCAACTGGTAACAACAACAAAGAACACTAATACCTGCTTATAAGAAATGGTGTGTTGAATAACGTCACTGAAAAGAAGAAACGAGAGAAAAACTACAAAAGAAGCATGTATTTATTTGCATATTATTGCTTGTAATTAGTGGGCAAACCATCTCATTTTTTTGTATTGCAACCCTTGCACGTTGCAGGGACGAATGGAGACGTTACTGGCGCCCGCTCGAGGAACTCGATGATCAACGAGATGATGGGTGAATAGTCTGAACAGTTCTATGCCTACTACCTTCTCAAGGTGAGCACCCACTCAGAAATCCATTATGCCTTACTCACTAAACCCATTATGCCTTATTCACTATTATCTCCTTCTCCGAGTCAAACCTTCTCAGCCGAATCACACTGTGTATGAATAATGCTTTAGACTTGCCAGTGCTTTGCTCAACAGTCTTCAAAAGAAACAGTTATATTTTGCTTTAGAACAGCACAAGATCACTTGCATCGGAGCCAACCTGCGCAACTGCCCGCAGAAGTCCCACCTGATCCGCCCTATTCTAGACCATTCTTCTTCAAAATACATCTTTTCGGTGGGTGTGTAGGACTCGCTGAATACTCGCGTGAGCACTCATGCTAAAATTAGGAGCTCGAGGGGAGTTTGCTTCTCTTGGTTAATTCTATTAGTTCACATTTTTCTCGAAAGTTCGTTGATCGTGTCTACTTTTATCAATTAATAGAAAGGAGCTTGAGCTAAGTTTTGACGCTCTGAATTCATCGGAGCGAAGTCCCAACTGTCCACGCGACAACCAGGAAAATACATGGCGCAATAATGAACAATGATGAACACCAATGTTTTATCCTTTATTCATCGTAAATGAACAAATATATAAACGGTCGTGGGAACTTTCCGCTCAAACAGCAAACTAAGGAGTTTTTGCCACGTACAGAAATTTTCGCAAAGTACAGACAACAACGCTATCAGCGCCTTTATTCGCCTTCTCACGTTTAAGGAATTTCAAATCAAAATCGGTAAGTCAAATCCAAGAACAATGAAATCATAGTAAAACATCCGCGTCACTTGTGCAAGAAGCGTTGAGTTGCCCATTAACGTCTGTTCTGCCTTAAAACGTTCCGTTTTTCCATAAGTTGAGTGATTGTTCCGCTCGACTAAATATTGCTGATTTGATATTGAGCAGTTGTTTTCAATGTTATACTCACCAAGTAGTTCTTTGCGGATTTCTTTCCGAATTTTTTCGGGAACTCCAGCCAAAGGAAAATGGAATCAAATTTGTAAGCCATATTTAGGATACCTTGCCGTCCAGTCTCGTACTTGATTATAATAAATTCTTCCAAGTGATTGTTAAAATCACAGTACCTGAAAAAAGAGGATACTCATGAGGTCTCCGTTCCGCTCCATCCATTACTGTTGAAAAAGGCTTCAAAAAGGATGTGGAACAGTTGGAATAATGATTGAAAGTAGAACAAGAAGCATTGCTTCAATGCGGCTCAAAGGCATAGCTCACTTTTCTTGGAATGCAGCCTACCACTAAGCTTTCACAGTGGCTCCTTCCTCCTCGTTGCCACCTTCGAAAATGAAATACAATGATGAGCAAGGCGAAATCTAGTCTCCATCCCCCCCGATTACACGGTATGCGCATTCGGACTGTTTTGTCGTTTGACAAGAATGACTAGAGTAGAGGCTATGAATTGCAAATCCAGAAGCTAAGCGTACCATGTTTGCGGAGCGAAGTGATGTAGTTCATATGAGTACTCATAAGTGCCCCTCTTATACATTTTATCCATATCATCGGCTAATGCGGATACGAAGCATCCCATATCACCATTACATGAATAGCAACGGAATGGTTGACGTAGAGCTTCACTGAAACAGAGAAACGCCTCTCCTGAAGTTTCTCAGAGCTGAATTTGGTCGCATGACTCATTGAAAAGTTTCTGATCTTCTGACGCGATTAAGGAGCCGTTGTGAGCCTAAGCAGCCAAGGCCCAGTGAAGAACGCCATGGGTTTTATATAAACCAGTTTAGCTGACGCACACTACTGCGCGCATGGTTCATTCTACGGTCTTGATCACTGACAGGATTCCTGTGCTGTTTCCTAACACCTGGCCTAGTTCCCATGGTTCATTCGGCCCATTTCATCACATGTCTGGACTTTAATGAGCATTTGCTAATGTCTGGTGCTTATCACATTTCTAAACTCACAGACCATTCGTCGAGAATAGAACAGCTTAGCGGTTGAAAGAGTTCCGATGGCAACAATATCGAATTCATAGTGAAATGTGCTTACATCCTAGTACTT